GCTTATCATAGGAAGTAATAAGAAATGACTCTTTACATTAAGGTAGTAGCCTAGTGACAACAGGGTGTTGGGGGAATCACTTTTTTTTCTCTTTTTCATCAAACCGCAGTTTTTGCAAGTTCCCGCAATTTTTGCAAGTTCCCGCAATTTCAACGCATAAAGTTGCATAAATATCCTGCATATTCCATCGCATTTTTTAAGAAAACGGGCCGCAAAATCAAGGATTTTTGTCTGCAACAATCACAAAAAAACTCTGTGTTTTACTGGAAGGACTGACTTGAGTACAAGTTTTAAAGTATGTGATATTTATTGTACTTAAAGGGATACTCCACCCAAAAATGAAAATTCTGTCATCATTTACTCACCCTCAAGTTGTTGCAAACCTGTATGAGTTTCTTTCTTCTGCTGAACACAAAGGAAGTTATTTTTTAGAACGATTGGAACCAAACAGTTGTTTGGCACCATTGACTTCCATAGTAGAAAAAAAAAAAAAATACTATGGAAGTCAATGGTGCCAAAGTTCCAATCGTTCTTCAAAATGTCTTCCTTTGTGATCAGCAGAAGAAAGAAACTCATACAGGTTTGCAACAACTTGAGGGTGAGTAAATGATGACAGAATTTTCATTTTTGGGTGGAGTATCCCTTTAATATCAGAAAATACTTTTCATACTTAAACGTACTTAAGTATTGAAAGTAGGGATGCACCGATCCACATTTTTTCACTTCCGATCCGATCCCGATACCTGAATTTGAATATCGGCCGATACCGATTCTATTCCGATACCTGAGCTGTTTGCTTTAATATTATTATTATCATTAGTGTTGATTTTATATGATGCTGAAATAAACTCCTCTCAACAGGTAAGTATGATATGTACGTATGTATGCATGCATGTATGTCCCAAAAGGCAACTTTAGGTAAGTATAAGGTCAGAAAAGGAATTCAGAAAAACAGGAAATCCTGTTAACAGGAAAAATCACATTCTGAAATCAAATATGCAACTGTAAGGGTTTCAAATTGATTGTCATGTCAATATTTATTACATTCCCAAAATGTCAAATACTTGAGTCTTGAAATATAAGAAACGTGCAAGTGTAAACATCTTACACACACACTATCAATAAAACAGTGTGCATCTGAACAGCACAAATCAAGTACACTGGCTCTTGTAGCATCAACAAATCAAGGTTTTAAAATGTCAAATATTAGAAATATAGGAAAAGTGCAATAACTGTAAACATCTTAAGGCCCTTGCACATATGGAGCTAATAATATGACAAAATGATTTGAATTTGAATTGTGTAAATTTGAATTGTTTGCAAGTGTAATCTAACAAAATTGAATTTTAGGTGGTAGTTTAAATAGTTCTGAATTTGATTTTTTTAAACGAATATTGAACATTTGAAATTTAACAAATTGAAAGGTTTTTATGGCTGAATTTTATAGACATGTATTTTCAAACAGCTAGTTTTTTTTGTTCTGAATTCAAATACTGCAAATATTCAGTTTAAAAAAATACAGATTCAAGTTTCCAAGATGAAGAAATTCGGAACTTCAAATTCAGTTTTCTAAAATTCAATCTCAAAAATTCAAACTCAAAAATTCAGGTCTTACAGAAAGTAGGTCACAGGTCATCCACAGGGAAGAGTAGATGATCTCAGAAAAGTCGAACAGAGCATTTTGGTCCATTAGGGACTGCAGAAGGTTTCTTAAACATGAATGATTTTGTGTTTGTTAGGTAGCGTTTTCATCACGTGAGACATTTGTCTAAGCAGTCTCTGGTGTTTGTTTTAAAGTATATTTTGTGTAAAATTGATTAAAACGCCACCGTGTCACCTACACAGACAGGACGCGAGCGGCGTGGCGCGGCGCGACGCAACACAGTGCTTGAAGCGACTGTTGCAAAGAGCTGAGACTAGGTCACAAATAGGATGGGGAATCCGTGTGCTGTTGGGGATTTCACGGGTCGCGTCGCTCCGCTCCCGTCCGGTCTAGACTGCGTCGTACATGTAAGCATACGGTACGAGAGGGTGTGCTGTATCGTGAATACGACGCGAACCGGAGTGCTTGCAACCCCTTCACGGCCGTTTCACACCGCATGCGTGAGCAGCGTGTATTTTTTCGGCGTGCATGTTAATCAATGAGTGCATCCACACCGGGAGCAGGAGCAGCGCGTGAGCAGCGGTGAAGCGGGGGTTTCGGGTGCTCTTCTCCACGCTCAATTAAAGTGAATACACTTTTGATGGACAAAATTTCACACAAAAAGTGCCCAAAATGCACAGAATAAGCATGTCTAGTGAGTTTTAACAAGAACTTGAGTTGGCAAAAAAGAAAAGAAAATGAAGACTAAAAAATAGTTAGGTCTATAGAAGATTAGGCTACCCGTTTAAACTTGTTTTTAATTATTCAGTTTGGGTGAATATATATTATATAAATATATATTATATTTAAAATAAATATAATGGTGTATTATATATATATATATATATATATATATATATATATATATATATTAATGGTGTATTATATATAAAACTAGTGTAAACTAGCCAGAAAATATTATATATAATTTAAACTTTCTTTTAGTTTATGTAACAGACAGCTACAACCCAAATTAAACCCAAGTGTGCGGTTTTGTGTGTGTCTGTGTTTTGTAGTCTTGTAAACATATCGAAAGTATGACTGAAAAGAATATTGGAGCTGTTTTCTGGGTTGTTTTGTTGTTTAACAATTATATGTGAATGTTGTACACCTACCTAACAAACACAAAATCATTCATGTTTAAGAAACCTTCTGCAGTCCCTAATGGACCAAAATGCTCTGTTCGACTTTTCTGAGATCATCTACTCTTCCCTGTGGATGACCTGTGACCTACTTTCTGTAAGACCTGAATTTTTGAGTTTGAATTTTTGAGATTGAATTTTAGAAAACTGAATTTGAAGTTCCGAATTTCTTCATCTTGAAAACTCGAATCTGTATTTTTTTAAACTGAATATTTGCAGTATTTGAATTCAGAACAAAAAAACTAGCTGTTTGAAAATACGTCTATAAAATTCAGCCATAAAAACCTTTCAATTTGTTAAATTTCAAATGTTCAATATTTGTTTAAAAAATCTAATTCAGAACTATTTAAACTACCACGTAAAATTCAATTTTGTTAGATTACACTTGCAAATAATTCAAATTTACACAATTCAAATTCAAATCATTTTGTCATATTATTAGCTCCATATGCACACTGAGTCTGAAATCGTATTCGTGATTCGGTGGCTCTGAATTGTCAGAACACCATTCAAACTCCATTCAAACTGCTTGCTACGGATGTGAAAAACGCAGAAAATCGAACCCGATTATTTTTTTATTTTTTTTTGACGGACGAAAGTTTCAGTGGCAGTGTGCAAGCGTAATTGACATAACGTGAGGACGTATTTATTTTTTAACGTGCGACGCGAATCGGACGCGAATTTCGGACTCAGTGTGCAACACACACACACACGCACACACACACACACGCACTTTCTCTATCAAAAAAACGGTTCCCGTTGTCTTTCGTTCCAACATAAGAAACTATTTATCGCAAATATGGCCACGTGTGTTCATCTTCGTCACAGCCGTCATTTGACACCGGAGTAGCAGGTGCCGCAGCTATTTCTGCTTCCATCTTGAAATCTGTCTTATTGTCGAGTGGAACTCAGTCGCTTACTAGCATGACATGCCTGGGCAGTTCTCTGCCTTAGGCTCGAGTGGAAAATGAAATCATCCGCAGTTGTGCGAGCACTTGTTTGCACATGTGCAAAGGAATTTAAACAAAGATCTAACTTGCAAACTGTAACATATGTCCACTGTAGGCGAGATGAACTTGAACCCATGTGCAGTTTATTTAAAGATCAACGAAGTGACAAAAACAGAATAGGCTTTACTAGATACAAAGACTTGGCATGAACATAAATGCACACACCAACAGTAGGTTACAACATCAATACCAGACAAAGTAACATGGCAAACATGAGAGCTATATAAACACGTGGACTAATAACTAAAGACACACCTGTGAACATAATCAAGACAATGAACCAATGACAACGTTGGACACATGGCAGGATCACATGACAAAGGGGAGGACATAACAAAACCAGGAACATGACAATGAGCATGAATACAAAATAAAAGACATGAACACAAACAAAGATCTATAGAAAGCTTGAAATGTCTACTTTTAAACAAGCCAATTTGAATCGAAAACAAAAACACTCATTAAAATCTGTATGAAAGGTATTTTTCTCTGCAAAGGCTCGTCCACTATACTGCATCTTTGCAGCTTACACTGACTCAGAAAACACTAGTTTATTAATAAATAATTAATGTCTCCATGCTATTTTTTCAGACACATCCATAATAATTACTTTTGCCGGCGGTTTACGGCAAGCTTTAGTGTGCACTTGAGCTTGAAATAGGCTATATATTAAGCCTATACAGCCTATTAAAGGCTCATTATGGGTTAGTATATATTAGTATGGTTTAGTATAAATGTGCGATTAGCCAACTAATGGTTCAAATGAACGACTACTAGTCGCCTCTAAAAATCTTTAGTTGGGGGCAGCCCTAGTTCCTATAGTATCAGTTTCTGAAGCAGTGTCTTGTTCCTTACTCAGGGAACCAAGGTTACAAATGTAACTTAAATGTTTCAGGGGCTTTAGGGGCCCTTAACATGATTAAAAACAAATTCAGCACAGGCGTTTTCTCTGGTAATCTGATCATCTTTGGGACAGAATATTAAACCTAAGGCAGCTATTAATGTTCCATTGGCTATTCTTAAATACACAGAGTATGAAATATTAATACATATTTTCAGCTAAAGTTCTGTGACTTCATATCAGGTATATACAATTGCAAAAACCACTGTTGTTTAATTTTCACTAATTTAGTGCTTTGATTTAAATTGTGTTGGCCCTGTACAGTAGTTTGTGTAATGTATCAAGTAATTTTTGTCCTTTTGCAGTTTTCTTTATTGGCCGAAACCTTAGCCCATGAAAGGCAAGACATACAAATTCGTACAAAAGCACAGGAAAAGGTGAGTGTTTGCTGACTCCATGAACTGTAAATTAATATTTGTCACCCCTTTGTGTAATATTTGTTTCAGACCAGAACTGCCTAGGAGAAGTTGCCTAGGAGTCTTCAACTTTTTACTACAACTGTAGAGAATGCCACGTGGCATTCTTTCTTTCTTTTTTCTTTTTCTTTCTAACTAATCTTTCTTTCTTTCTAATAAGAAATAAGGTTTCACTTTATTTGGATGGTCCCTTTAACACTAGAAGTGCCAGAATTCCATAACTACTAGAACTGCCACAAGCGGTCATTTTGACCGTTAGATTGCAAGATCTATATCTTTAATGATAAATACCCAATTGAGTGATTAATGCATTTATTGTATTAGGATATCTTTTAAAAACAAAACAACACCAAACTGTACATTTAAAAAAGTTTAATTATACATTTATAAATAACAATATCAGTAGCCCGTAATTATCGCATATTCACAACAGATAGCTATATTTCCATATCCATTCAACATAACTCAGAACAAGATAAGTAGGCCTACCCAAGATAATAACAACTAAAAGTATCTTATTTAGATATTCTTTTGACAGTGAGAGAGACAATGTCACGGTTTATGAATTCGCTGTCTCCTTTCTCGTCTTGTTGTGTGTGTGTGTGTGCGTGGTCGCTGATCATTGCACCTGATCAGCACGCCCGCTCTGATCAACGCGCCAGCTGCAACTGATCAGCATTCGACCCTTTTTAGTGTTACTGTTGTCGCCTAGTTTTTGTCAGATCGTTGTGGATTTTTCCTGCGTGTTTGTTCCCTGCCTGTATCCGTTTTCCGTGTGTTATCCCGTGTTCAGCACTCCATGGTTCTACACGCAGCGTCCCTGTGCTGCCAAGGGCTTCATACCGGACATTTACACACCTTAACTCTCCCAGCATCTGACCAGCTCTCAATAAACAAATCTGTCATTTTGCAATTGAATCTTCTGATTATTTCCTTCTGATTAGGTCAACCGCGAGAAATGTAACAAAAGAATACCGCGAAATTCAGTGCGGTCAATATGACCGTCTATGGCCGAAATAGGTAAATATGTTCATTTGTTTTTTTTTGCCTTATGTGTAATTTATATTAAAAACATTTTAAATGAAAATACAGACACTTTTAGGAAAAGTCAGGTACCAGCAGGATTTTATTTATTTTGTCAACAAAGTTATTGCAGATATAAAATTCAAAACGGTCAAAATGACCGCCGTGGCCGTTCTAGTATTAACACATTCAGTTCACTATAACTAACTTTGCAACTACATGTCAACTAACTCTCACTAGAGTATTAGTAAACTGTCTGCTTAATATCTGCTAACACTTTATTGTGATGCTCCTCCAACAGACATTATACTGACTATAAGTAACTTTGCAACTACATGTCAACTTATTCTATCCCTAACCCTACCAGTCTACTAATACTCTACTAACACTCTAGTGAGAGTTAGTAGAAATGTAGGTGCAACGTTATTTATAGTCAACTGAATGTGTTAAAGGGACCATCCAAATAAAGTGAAACCTTATTTCTTATTAACTATTTATTATTTCTTTCTAACTATTCTTTCTTTCTTTCTAACTAGTCTTTCTAACTTTTCTTTCTTTCTTTCTAACTAATCTTTCTTTCTTTCTAACTAATCTTTCTTTCTTTTTTCTTTATTTCTAACTAATCTTTCTACCTAATCTTTTGTTTCTTTATTTCTAACTAATCTTTCTTTCTTTTCTTTCTTTCTAACTATTCTTTCTTTATTTCTAACTTTTCTTTTTTTCTTTCTTTCTAACTTTTCTTTCTTTCTTTAACTTTTCTTTCTTTCTAACTAATCTCTTTCTTTTTTCTTTAATCTTTCTTCCTAACTAATATTTCTTTCTTTCATTCTTTCTTTCTTTCTTTCTTTCTTTCTAACTATTCTTTCTTTCTAACTTTTCTTTATTTCTAAATAATCTTTATTTCTTTTTTCTAACTAATATTTCTTTCGTTCTTTCTAACTAATCTTTCTTTTTTCAAACTTTAAACTATTTAAAACTTTAAACTACTTTAAACTTCCTTCTAATGTTTTTTTCTATATTTCTAACTAATATTTCTTTCTTTCTAACTAATCTTTCTTTATAACTAACTATTCTTTCTTTCTTTATAACTGATCTTTCTAACTAATCTTTCTTTCGTTCTAACTATTCTTTCTTTCTCTAATAGAAAGTTACTTTAAGTTAATAATAGAAGTCTAATACTTAATAATTCTTAATACTTTAAGTCTAATAGAAAGTTACTTTAAACTACTTTTCTAAAGAAAAAAAGAAAGATTAGTTAGAAAAAAAGATAGATAGGTTAGAAAGAAAGGTTAGAATGAAAGAACGATTAGTTAGAAAGAGAGAAAAAGAAAGAAAGTAGTGTTTCTAACTAATCTTTCGGTAACACTTTACAATAAGGTTCCATTAGTTAATGCATTAGTTAACATGTACTAACCATGAACAACATCTCTGTTCAGCATTAGTTAATATTTGTTAACGTTAACTCACACATATACTAATGCATCAGTTTACGTTAACAGCACAATTAAGTTAACATTAGTTAATGCATTAGTTAACATGAACTAACCATGAACAACAACTCTGTTCAGCATTAGTTATTAAAATTTGTTAACGTTAACTCACACATGTACTAATGCATCAATTCACATTAACAGCACAGTTAAATAACATTAGTTAATGCACTAGTTAACATGAACTAACCATGAACAACACCTCTGTTCAGCATTAGTTAATATTTGTTAACGTTAACTCACACATATACTAATGCATCAATTCACATTAACAGCACGGTTAGTTAACATTAGTTAATGCATTAGATAACATGAACTAACCATGAACAATGCCTGTAAATAGCTTTACTGTTTTGTAAGGTTAACTTACTGTACATATTTACATTAGTTTACGTAGCAGTTGACACACACCAAGTATGAACATTTCTAACTCACCATGTTATCCTAAATGTAAAAATACTGTTGTGTACCTTATCAACACTCAAGGCATTGATTTGTTGGTAAACATAATTCTACAGCGGAAAAATATGTTGTTCATGTTTATACGCACTTTACTATCATTACTTGCATTCAAATAAGCATTTATTAATGGATTGAGTGAAAAGTGTACACTATTTCAACATTAACTGATGTGTTACTAACATTTGTAGACTCTTTATTAACATTAATTACCATTAATAAAGCATTTATTAATGGAATTTATAAACCTTATTGTAAAGTGTACACTATTCAACATTAACTGATATGTTACTAACATTTGTAGACTCTTTATTGACATGACTTATCATTAATAAAGAATTTATTAATGGAATTTATAAACCTTATTGTAAAGTGTACACTATTTCAACATTAACTGATGTGTTACTAACATTTGTTTTCCGCTGCAGCATTATGTTTACCAACAAATCAATGCCTTATATGAAAGAGTGTTGATAAGGTACACAACAGTATTTTTACATTTAGGGTAACATGGTACATTAGTACATGTGTGAGTTAACGCTAACAAATATGAACTAATGCTGAACAGAGATGTTGTTCATGGTTAGTTCATGTTAACTAATGCATTAACTAATGTTAACTAATGGAACCTTATTGTAAAGTGTTACCAATCTTTCTTTCTAACTAATCTTTCTTTATAACTAACTATTCTTTCTTTATTTCTAACTAATCTTTCTTTCTAACTAATCTTTCTTTTTTTCTAACTATTCTTTCTTTATCTTTCTTTCTAACTATTCTTTCTTTATCTTTCTTTCTAACTAATCTTCTTTCTTTCTTACTATTCTTTCTTTCTAACTTTTCTTTCTTTCTAACTAATCTTTCTTTCTTTCTACCTAATCTTTATTTTTTATTTTTTTCTACCTCTTTCTTTTTTCTCTTTTTCTTTCTAATTAATCTTTCTTTCATCCTAATCCTTTTATTTTTTCTTTCTTTCAAACTAATCTTTCTTTCATCCTAATCTTTCTTTTTTCTTTCTTTCTAACAAATCTTTCTTTCTACCTAATGTTTTTCTTTCTTTCTAAGTAATCTTTCTTTCTAACTAATCTTTCTTTATAACTAACTATTCTTTCTTTCTGATCTTTCTTTCTAACTAATCTTTCTTTCTCTTTCTTTCTAACTAATCTTCTTTATTTATTTCTAACTATTCTTTCTTTCTAACTATTTATTCTTTCTTTCTAACTATTCTTTTTTCCTTTTTAACTATTCCTTTCTAATTCTTTATTTTCTTTCTTTCTAACTATTCTTTCTTTCTAACTATTCTTTCTTTCTAACTATTCTTTCTTTCTAACTTTTCTTTCATTCTTTCTAACTATTCTTTCTTTCTTTTTAACTATTCTTTCTTTTTAACTATTCTTTCTTCCTAATTATTCTTCTTTCTTTCTAACTAATCTTTCTTTCTTTTTTCGAACTATTTTTTATTTTTCTTTCTAACTAATCTTCTTTCTTTCTAACTATTCTTTCTTTCTAACTATTTATTATTTCTTTCTACCTAATCTTTCTACGTAATCTTTTTCATTTTTCTTTATTTCTAACTAATCTTTCTTTCTTTCTAACTATTCTTTCTTTCTTTCTAACTTTTCTTTCTTTTTTCTTTCTAACTTTTCTTTCTTTCTTTAACTTTTCTTTCTTTCTTTCTAACTAATCTTTCTTTTTTCTTTTTAACTAATCTTTCTTCCTAACTAATCTTTCTTTTTTCTTTTTTTCTTTCTAATCTTTCTTTCTTTCTAACTTTTCTTTCTTTCTAAATAATCTTCTTTCTTTTTTCTTTCTAACTAATATTTCTTTCGTTCGCTCTTTCTTTCTTTCTTTCTTTCTAACTAATCTTTCTTTCTTTCTAACTATTCTTTTTTTTCTTTCTTCCTTTCTAACTAATCTTTCTTTTCAAACTTTAAACTATTTAAAACTTTAAACTACTTTAAACTTCTTAACTTTCTGGTCCAAACTTTCACA